CATGAGTACATCAACAAACTGCATGAGTGCAAGCAATTGACACACACACCCAACATGAGCACAATAGACTCAAACCCAACATTAAGGTCAGGTACACGCAACACACATTCACCAACGCCAGCGCTGAAACGCTAGGTTGTGCAAAGCGCATCAGTTCATTTTCCATCAAGTCCAAACACTCAGGTCAAAGCCTCTTCAGCTCGCCACTTCAGTGAGCTCCATCAACGACCAATGTCATTGCCGCCTGTCACCATAGTCTCTTCGACATCGTCATCTGTCGTCGGAGGTGGCCGGCTCCTGTCTCTTGCACGTGGAGGTGACCGGCTCCTGTCTCTTGCAACGCTCTGCCCGACTCTCTCCACGCGCAGCGTGTTCTCCACCCTCCCGAGCAGGCGGTAGAAGCAGTCGAGCGAAACCTTCAACTCAATCAAGATGGCGAAAATCTCTGCCTCCAAACCTCTCTCGCGATCAGACATGGCCACAACTTGCCAACTTGCGGACGCTTTGCTTGATCTGAGCAAACGCACAAGTGACAAAGAAGTTCCATTGTTTCCTACACGTGACTGAGTTCAAAGTTCCAGTGCACAAGCACGCACACGTGACAAAGAAGTTGAATGTGTGTGTGATACATCCACGCGAGCAAAATCAAGGATCCATTATTGTTTTCCAACACATGACAGAATTCGAAGTTCCATTTTGCCACACGAAACATGACGTGTTTGCCACACGTGCGATCACCGCCGTGGGCTACGCGACTGTGAGATTGGCTTTGTCCTTCCCCTGGCCTGGTTTGGGTCGAAAAACTGAAAACTGTCTGTTTTCAACTTTTTACTTTGATATTGAAAAACGGGACACCCAGTTGATGGAATTAGGTTGAATTCAGAGATTTAGGGTTCTACACATTCCTAAATGAAAAAATGATGCTTCGATTATCTGAAACTGTTCCTTTTGCCATACCTCAGGCGTCACTTTTCTAACCCAGGTTTTCCCACCCAATTGATGGCGCTTTTTCCAGCTGAACTGGTGAGCGTTGTGCACAGGTAGTCTTAAGATGTACTCTGCTACCTACAAGAAACTGGCGCTTTGGGCGGCGCAACCCGCTCTACGCGGATCTTCCCGCTTGGCAACAATGCGGAACTCCCCGCAAGCAAAAACTTGCCCAAAACCATTTGGATAGGGTAGAGGCAGATCAAGTTTTTATCTTTCTGGAACTTGCTTTCTCTTGGGCTTTTGCTTTGGGATCAGCTTTGGCTTTTGCCTTTGCCTTGGCCGCGCCTGCTTTTTCACCCGCATCATCTGGAGCTGTTCTTTTCTGCGGCAGGCCTTTCCCATCTTCGTTGACAACCTTCGAAGCCGAATCCCCTGCCTGGGTTTTCGGCGGATCTACGTTTCCGCTGTGTTTTGGCGCTTCTTCTGGTCTCACTTCCGCTGCGGCTGTTTCTGCGGCTGCTGCTGAGCTCCCCGGTTGTGGCGCGTCAACCTTGATTGGAACTTCTTCTTCTGCCTCAGGCGCAGTGGTGGCCGCAGGAACCTTGGGAAGACATGGGCTGACGACTGCCTCGGCCTCTGCCCCAGATTCTGCAGCGGCAGTTGGGACCACCGCTGTTGGAGTGGCTGCTGCATTTTGGTGGAGTTCGCCACCGTTGGGCAAGGCTCGCTCTTGCTTGGGTCCTGTGCGTTTTCCGCAGTCTTTTCCTTTTCTTCAGCCTCAGCCTTTGCTTCAGCCTCAGCTTTTTCCTGTTCTTCAGCCTCCGCCTTTGCTTCAGCCTCAGCTTTTTCCTTTCTTCACCCTCAGCCTTTGCTTCAGCCGCAGTCTTTTCGTTTTCAGTCTCAGCTTCAGCGTCCAGCGCTGCTTGCGCTTGCTGTCCTGGGTTTGTGACCTCGTTGGTCTTCACTATTTGGCCCTTGTGGCGTTCCTCTTCCAGGTCTTCTTCCATGGGCTCGATGTCCATGTCCTTTTTATCGGCAGTGGCAGCGGCCTCCGGTTGAGGCTCCTTTGCACTGCCGTTCTCAGGCTGCTCTTCATGATGCTCCTTTTCAGCGTCACTATTTGTGGGCAGCCGCAACTTCTCAGACTTGTAGGCGGGCCGCTTGAGCTCTGCTTGAGCTGCTTTCAATGTGTCGGACATGCTTGGTGGCAGGGCTATTGGCCTTGGAGATAGGGTGTGCCTGCAAATGAGAGGGAGCGCTGTCGCCAGTAAGACTGCTGCCTTCTCTCAGCTGCACGGGGCTAAGGATGGGATGAGGATGAACAGGATGAACTGGGCATTTCTTCTGGTGTCTGTAGCAAAAACTCGACACATGTTCTAAATCCTGCTCCATAAGCTGATTGAAAACAGCAGCAGCAAAAGCTTTGGGGCTGGTGCTCAATTTTACAACGCTTGAGGCTCGAATCTTTTTGATCTGGTCAGACACGTCCTCCCAAATGAGGCGGTCACATCGCTCTCTATGTCGCCATGCACGCAGCAAGAAGCGCCGCTGTGGGTTAACAAAATTTCTCTGCAGGCAGCGTCTTTATCGCCGCATCGCTGTACAAACAAACGTTGCCCCACGATTTCTTCAAGTTCATGGGTCATTGGAGAGCCTTGTGCTTCCTCTGCTAGTGCAGCAACTACACACAGGTGCCTAGTAGCTTTTGTGCGGTGCCAATTCCGCTATAGTCTGTGGTCAAAATCACCCCGCTCTGAAAACATTGCTGCAGGGGTTCTAAGAACTGTTTTTCCTTTAGGCGATCCAAGATACGAATGGGCCAGAGGTCGCTTTCCTCCATACTCGAAGGCCCCAGTCTGCTCCTGGTCTGCGGGGCTTCCCGCCCAGTCCGCTGCCTCTTGGGCACAGACACCATGG